TTTAGTTAAATCTGCTTATATTTACGGAATCGATATATTCCACAAAATAAAAATTGATCACAAGTTAAAATATTTAACGATATCTTATTATGCAAATTATACACGACAGAAAATAATAACAATTCAAAAAAGTTTCTACATTCTACATAAAAGACATGTTGGGCTTTTTCTTCTTCTTTCTTATTTATTTATTTGTGTTTCGATCCAACTCTCTTAAAACCCAATACTGGGAAACTGGAAATTGTTTCGTAGGCGACCAACCAATTATTACAAGCAAGATTGGTCGGCTCTCTGTCTATTTTTTTGTCTCATGATTATAGGTTACATTCATGTCTAACCTTACGTTATGTCCATTCAACTTTCAACATATTTATCATATGTAAACCATGCAAAGCCATGATTCAGAATGGAAATGCTAAAACATGACTGAGAATCGAGAGTTGACTGGCGCAGCGTAAACTTGATAGATTCGAAGCTCATTGATTCCAAAGAATAGCTGATCTCCGAATGAAGTTTGAAACATATACACGTCCAAGCAAAAGATGAATTAGAAAGTTCTGAAGTTTTATTCAATAAACGTCTGTCATCTCTTAAAGCACAAACTAAACTTTAAAAAAGAAGCTTGAAAAACAAAACAAATTAAAGTGAAATAGAGAAACAATTTGTCTTAAGTAAAGATGCTGGTAATTCAAAAATCTCTTCGTTGGAGACGTATTTCTTGTGAAAACGATAGCAAATGCTAACAAATTCAAGAGTAGATCAGCTCAACTAAAAAAGGTTATACAATCTGTTTAGGACATGCTTTTTGTTTGATGAATTTTTTAACCAAATCAACACTTGAAGATATAAACAAAACCTCGTCTTTTAATAATCGGATTCTCAAAAACTGATGAACAATGAAACTAAAGCGATGCTTAAACATAAAACTAAGAAAACCCCTAAGTCTCTATATGGACTAGGAAAAGGAAAAGCTCAACTTAAAAATCCAGATTACATAATTAAACTTCAAACCAAAAAGCCCAACATAAGAACTAGTGTTTTCGGCTGCCGCTGCATCAATCAACTGCATTTCTTAAGACCATGAAGTGGCACGGTTGCTCAAAATTGACGCCTTGGTGGCCTAGCCTCGGCCTCCGAGACTCTAATTTGCCTTCCATCCAAATCCTTTACAGAAGCAACATAAATGTTTAATTAGAAAGTTTGCTCGCAATATAATAAGTACTAATGCCAAGAGAAATGATGATACTTACTGCACCATTCAAAGAATTGATGGCTTTTGTGACCTCTTGAGGAGAACCGAGTGTAACAAACCCAAAACCCTTGGATCGACCAGTGTCCCTGTCGTAAATCACCTTCGCCTCAACAACCTTTCCTTGCTCACTAAACAAGTGCTCAAGAGCCGTGTCATCCACACCCCAAGAAAGGTTGCCCACATACACACGGTCAGATGAGCCTGACCCCGAACCTGACCCAGAACCATAGCTGGAACGTTCAGAACCATAGCCGGAGGAACGTTCAGAACCGTAGCTGGAACGCTCAGACCCATAACCAGAACGTCCGGAACGTTCAGACCCGTAACCAGATCGGCCGGAACGTTCAGAACCATAACCGGAACGTTCAGAACCGTAACCACCACTTCTTGGTCCTCTGGAGAAGGAATCCTCCCTCTTAGGTGGAGGAGGCCCGGCATTAACCCTCAAGGGTCTACCTTCAAATTCCTGCAATACATAACAACAAAAACCATGAAGTCTCCACAAACCAAGTAAAGGCTAAAAATCATTTCATAAAATCCAAGTA